CCGTACGCCGCCTACGTTGGTTTAAAGACACGAGCTGAAATCTTGGATTCTCTGTTTGTGACTTACCTATTCGCAACGAGGCGAGAAATAAATTAACCCAACGAAGATACGGTTACCCAAGACATCTACGGTATGTATATGCTGGTCATCTCTCACAGAAATTTGGCTTTGAATTTGACCGATCCCGTATTAATAAACGTGACACATCTTAGCCATCCGACTACGTGTCTAGTTATTGAACCAAGATAAACGTGAATCAGCGTGACCTGACTCTAGCCGTGACCCAATACGAGAAGTAGTGTTTCTGCGGAGAAACGGTGCAAGCCTCATTTGGTCCGGATGAGGCTGAGAGTGATAAACCACACAGCATCCAATACTGTAACGTTAGTTACTTTATATTGCCGATCTTTCCTGTTTTGATGCCCTATTTGTACGCGCTTATGTCGCGCAATTTAGGCTTTACTTCGATCCGGTATTGAAAGAGATATGAACGGCCATCTAAACCGACCTAACTGACTTGACCAACCTCGAAATATGTCAATTTTGGGAAAAACTGGTATAGTATTCTGCAGATCGTCTAGTTGGAGAAGCACCTAGCGAACGCAGGGTCAATGTGTCATAAGAGAGTCGGTGTCGCCGATGTATCAATGGCATCTAAATGCATCTCTGTGAAGCCACACGGTACTTACGTAGCATTTCTAATGGATCGTCACCTATAGTCGTCATGACTTGCTACGTGGTCCTTTGCCGAGTCTTAAGTAACCTAGTATCGTATATAGGGGGACCAAAGCTCATGCGGGGCCTCCATCGCCCAGTTCCTATTCTTTTCGAATCTCGGGGACCTGCGCTAGTCAACAGAGTCCATAAAAATGGGGTGATTTCTTGTACATAGTACACTAAAGAAGAATCAATTTCATACCTCGAGCTAGGCCTATCATCTGCCTCATGTGTGTATTACATGCGGGGGATTCTTACTCACAAATATCCCGTACCTATCATTTATTTTAGTGGTACGCCGACCCAAAGGCAGGCACATTAGATATCAAGTATCTGGGTCGTCTTGCACATGCGTATGTGTATTAGCACGACCGATCAGCATCCCACCAAGGCGACTGCCGAAATGTTCGCTCAAGCTCTAAGCTAAAGACATCTCAACGAGCTATCCGCATATAATAACTACCGCAACCTTAACGTGTCAGTATTAGTGTATGCTATAGTACGTGTGATATATGCTATAATAAACTTAGCCTTAGCGGTTGACATGCTTACCAGGAAGTACGTGGTCGATCGATATTGAATAAAAGAGATCTGAGAATTGATGACAGCGGATTGGGTTGATGCAACACCCCGGCTGACTCCGGGACAATGTCAGACGTACCCTTGTCGTTCTTTTGACGACATCCCAACGCCCCTGTCTCCAACAAGGTTCAAGGATCTTATTTAAACGACCAGACATCCGTCATTTCTTGCTGGAAGGCCTTCTTGCGGCCCAATAGGTACCGTGCCCTATTCTCAGCACATACTAGGCAGGCTAGAATGGAATTATGAAAGTATGGAAGTACCTACTCCTAAAATATGCACTTCGTAGACAATGTTGGTCTACCTCGGACCTTATTCGTAAAGATTCGTAAACATCAATAATCTGCTAGCCACTCGCGTAGTGAGCATGATCGAAACATCACAAGACGACCTAGCAAATGTCGGGTATCAATTGATTCGTAGTTAGCTTCCAATGGTAGTTATAGACAGGCCAAGTTGAAAATGTATACCTACGTCGGCAACCTAAATATTTAGCCAATTCGTCGCCAAGGCCAATTGTATAGTCTCATAGTTCGTTTTTATATCAGCCAATAGTCGACGGTATCGAGATAATTACTTAAAAATAAATATTCTTCTGTCGGCCTCTTGGTCTGTTTGGGTGTGTGGTCCGACTCATACCCACCGGCTTCTTTTCCCCGGGGAATTGAACCAGCTCCCATCACAAGCTCATGGCAGACAATTAGATCGTTTAGTGGCGCCTTCTAGATCTTTGGCTACCTACATAGGCATGCAGAGCATACCAATATAGCGGATACCGCATCAGATTCTAATTAGTTAGGGCGTGTGAAAAATATGGGTTATTTTGGAAATTGATGTCTTAAAACTAAGCGGTAGCCGAGCCGTTCGCAGCCTGACATAAATTTTGGAGATGGGGGCCAAAGCTAATATGAAAATGAAGGAGAAGTAGGTAACTTAGGTACCTACTAACGTAAGACATTAAATGAATGACAGAAGGCAAGAAGTATAATGGTACGCATACAGCATACAGAAACCGGAAAGCACCGGGTCTCATATTCCCAGCATCTGCATGCATACGGCGTTTCCTTCCTTCCTAGATCTTATGTACCTTATACCTAAATTGGGGACGATTATTGTATGATGCGTACCTACCTACATCTTACATAGATGTGGCAAAATTATCTAATATTAGTACATCAATCAAGTATATATATTTCTACCTCTATAACAGGTAAGGTAATTGTGTTTGAAATGTGTTAGATTGTATACGTTTCCTCGTGTCTACATAATCTCATTGCCTACTATTGAAGGTATTCAATGTTCTTATTAAACACAAAACACACAAACTGAAATAATACGTCATAAGAGAAAGCAGCGAAAGACAACCCATCGTTACAGTCATCCTATCCTCGCATGACATAATGAATGATGAATGATCAATGCTTGCTTCATGGTAGGTTCTAAAATGACCGATCCGTGCAGAATAAGGAATCATCTCTCAATCAGCATCAGCCACACAACAGAAAACTCGGCGCACAATTGGGAAAAGCAAAACTTCATCGTGTGTTACCTCTACCTAACCTACCAAGTCCTCTATTTGGTAGGTAACTAAATATTTATCCCCCCTCCTCTTCTCTTAATTTGCCCCTTCTTATCTACATAAATTGTTCGCTGCAACACGGCGCTGGGTCTCTTAGTACGTAACAAAGGCTGATGTTTGTTAGGGTGGAAAATGTCTATACAGTACCTAATGTTCATATCAACTATCAACTTCGTACAAACCAGGCGCTATCGTACAAACGAGCCCTAAGATCTGGCGGCCGTTTTCTGATAGGCTGATCTGAGCCAGGAACATGCGCGGTGACCCGTGACACCCTTCGAGTCAAAGATCTATGTTGAGGCTGGAAAAGGGTTTGTCTTATATGCTCTTGGCCAATATACCTTACCCCGTACCACCCAATAAGTCTATTCTCCGGCTCTGCGCTCTCTTCACCCTCCCACCAAGGTACCTAATCTAGGTATCTATCTAGGTACCCATCAGCTTTGCTATTAGGTAGGGTCAGGCATAGTCCGGTAAGGGTATTGACCAGATCACCCGTCATGTCTCGTAGAGGCACGCCCTTGGGGTATCGGTAAGGGGGACTCATTCGGACCCGCTCTCGATTACCTGTGCGCACTGCGCAGATCTTGTTGGCCCTGTCGCAACCAGCAACCAGACAAGCCCTACCTAGCAAGCCCAGGCTGCCAGGCAAGCCCCAGGTACTTTTACGCACGGCGCGAGTTAAGGCGTTGGTGGTCGTTAATGTGTTTTGGAGAATCTAGTTAAAACTCGTCCCTATTCCGTTTTTCATTGGAAGGCCGTCGTCTGATCTCGTGTATTACATACCCACAGCTTTGATGGGGTGCATGCGAAAAAGGGATTCGAACTTCTCCTTCTATCTACTCTAGAGTCTAATTGGGTCTCCACTCCCTCCTACTACCGGCTCTTCTTGACCTTACTCCTCGACATCCACCTAATAATATATCATGAGGCAAGTACCTACCAGCTAGTCAGTCAGTCTAATCAGTCAGTTCCTTACTGTTCAAACAAAAAAAATCTTGTTATCTGCTTGCTTCTTGCCTCTTGCTGCCCACTTACACTGCACCGCATAGTACCTACCTGCTACTGTAGAAAATCCCCGGCCACCTTTAAAATCCTCCGGTGTCAGCAACTCTATTTCCACTTACACCAACATACATCATACATACAACATTATTCGGCATAGACCCTTTTATTGTTACTGGTCATCTTTGCCATACTTACCTTAAAGATCTACGTACGACCTCGTTACAATACCACTCACTCACTCACTCTCACTCATTCATTGGTTTATCTCTTTAATTGCCCAGACCAAAAACCAATCTTATTTCATCTCAGCTTAGCCTCGAGCTAGTTACTTACTCTAAAGCTATCTATTCGCGGCTTGAAGAGAGTAAACTAACCAGAAATCTCAGTTACGTCCGGGCGAAGTTGATATCTTACCTGGTATCTTTCAAAGAACGCTGAAGAATTTGAGGTATCACTCCCCGGTCCTGGTGTGGCTTGCTAGTTGATTGGGCTCGGCAAGGTCACTATTTGTCGGTTTAGAAGTTAGTTACAAAAAATACTGGGATCCTCCCGGTACGCGTAGTGACGATAACTGGCAAGTCAAATAACCTCCCCTAACCTACTCAGGATTTTTGTGGAAAAATTCATCCCATATTCCTACATAGTCGGCATCTACTAGGTAAGGACGAACTTAAAAATCTGGGACCTCGGAGGCATCGTCATCCCAGTAAGGGCCTAGGTTGGGGGGTACTCGACATATGCTCGGGCGGTGTTTGCATCGAGAAGACTTTTCAGCATTCAAACTTTCGGCATCTCATACATAGTCGGTCTTCCCTGGCAAGCTCTAACTTTTTCGTTCTGTCGTATTCCATCCATTAAACGCAACGCTTCGAGATATATTCCCGGAAAACGCGTCGTTTCATGCCTGGGTCATATATATCGCTACTCACTAGCCCCTCACGTTAGGGTTTTCGTCCGAAGAAAAAAAAAAGTCAGGAGAAAGCCTCGTAACTTAGGGCAACCTTTCTTCCTACTGTGATCCGACTCGTCCCCTGTCTAGGAGCCTGAAGTGAGAATTTTATCCGACCCCGCGTATTCTTTTACTACCGCAACAAACTACTCTCGGCCGATTTCTACTATAGCGTCTATTTCCGATCTTATCGCACGCGCTACTCGCACGCGGTGAGGTTCTCGGAAGATTCTGACGGGCCGGCTGTACCACGGCCTAAGCGAACCAAAGTGGCCCTTCTTTTCTAACTATAGCTCCGTTTCCGGAGGCGCATCGGTTAGACTCGCCTCTTAAAGCGTCTTGCGACCCGTCTCCCGTGGTATGGACGATCACGGGCGGCGGAGGAGGCCGAACGAACCGCCCGTCAACGCCCCTTCTAATACTAGATACCCAATTCACGATCCCAATGCACAGGGACGGTCGTACGGCGCAAGCGGGTCTGATAGGTATCGGCCCGCGCCTCTCAATACATCGCCTGCAGCATCTAGAGGTATTGCAGGCACGGCTAACTACAGTGGCTATTATCAAGAGCCGGCAGCAGCCTTCTCCACCGCCATGCAGCAGAATACAATGACATACCAGTCTGAATACGGACAAGACGCTCGACAAACACCGAGCTTTAGTACGTACAATCCGTCTATGATGTACAACGTGCCGCAAGCGAGCGCGCAAAGTGCCGTCTACGATACGAGTCAACAGTTCCCGTCACGGCAGCCTGCAGCACTGCAGATGATACAAACGGACGTGTCCAACCCCTATTTCCCGAGCGAACCGACCAACGCGGCCGCAGCGACTAGCCTACAGTCGCATACGGGTTCTTCAAGTACATCAGCAGCAGTATATCAGCAGAGTCCAGTTGCTCAACGCGCAATGCTCCAGAACTATCCAAGTGGGATAGCGCCAGTCAGCGGCATGGCACAAACGAGCACGCCCGAGCAGGTTGTAGAGGAACCCGACTACTCACAGACGGTAGAGATGAGTGAGGCCTATGCGCGATACCAAACTGCTCTGGGGGAGGTTTTCACCAACATTCGTAACGGGGTGCTACAAGCTGCAAGCGAGTCGCTCTTAAACATTTCCGAATGGCTGCTCTCCAAAGTTGTGGAACTAGGTGAGTCCATTTATCGAATAGCGCGATGATGTTCGTGAGTTTAACTGTTGAAGGCCTCGCAGCGGACGATGAAAATCTTTACAGGGACCGTATCAAGATGTGGCAGGATTTTAACCATGCATGGCTCTCATTATTCCAGAAGCAAAAGGATATGATGGAGTCTGGCGCCCCGCCTCAACGAGGCCAAACGCTGATTAGCGAAGATGGGTTGAGAAAGATGGGGAAAGAGATTGTGAGGCTTTGCGACGGGATTGATCGGCACGGCCTAGTAGACTACCAGTATGGCGTCTGGGAAGAGTCTATTGTTGCTAGTAGGTTCCTAACCCGGTGGTGATATCGTGCGCAGTGCGTATGTTGGCTCAATTTACTAACCAGCTGGGCCAGTCATTGAGGATTGTCTCGATCTTTATGAAGACGAAGAAGAGGCCGAACCTTCCGGTTCCTCCGCCGCGAATCCCGCCGGAGCGGGCCGCCGGGGCCAGCGCACTTCTCGATAGTGGTGGCTACGTGCTCTAACAGGGATAGGATGCGTGGCCGGGCAGTGCCGGGGGCTATGGATCGGTTATGATTTGAAATATATACGGGGCGTTCCATTCGGTCACGGCGATTATTTGCATAGCAGGTTGTGATACCCAGCGATTCTACAGGCGGCACGGAAACGTTACTGGTCCATATCTCTGACCGGTACGGATGACGATGATTGACCCGGGAGTTAGACGAATTACGACGTAGCATTTAGTTGCATGCTGGCCTAACTTTATGAGATGGCACGCCTACATGGTTTTATTAAGGAATATAGTCTCGTTCCGCCAGAGTGGTAATATATCGAGCTGGGGATACGTGAAAATATTCAGGGATTCTAAAAGGAGGGGACATACGTTACGGCTGTAATGAGAGATATGCGATGGGACGACAAATGACAGAAAGGGAGAAAAAAACATGGGGATATGGGCTCACTAGAGCGGAGGTGTACGACTATACGATGTTGATTTCGGATACCCTTGGAAACTGGCGTGAGTGTAGGAATGGTTAAAAGAAGGTATAGAATAGAAAGGCATATATTGCTCTCGCGAGCTTGTTCGCTTAGTTTCATTAATATGGATTACTCGCTTTTACGTATGCTGGTTGATATCATAGAGGTATCATACCAGTTCAGCGACATCCGTATCTGGATATATGTATATAATTACCTACCTACCTACCTCACAATTTTAAAGGCGTGACCTCAATAAGATAACCGGTGACTCGACGAATTCCGTCTGAACATGGAGTTGTACAATTTACATAAACTTTAACCTAAGTTAGCTAACCTTAGGTAATTACAGAAAAATAGGCTTAGGTAAGGTTTGATGATTAAAGATTTAGTGCGCTGATTCATCCCCTTTGAGCTTTTCTTTCCCTTTTAATCACTTACCTATCACTTTCTACTATGCACTCTCTCCTGTTGTCATCTACTCCCGTCTCGACCAAAGAAATATATTGGTAGGTAGAACCATTGAGAACTTGATACCCGTCTTACTGACCCATTTCTTGTGGATATCTAATGCGTATTATATTGATTAAATTTCGGCTCGCTGTCCTAGAGGCATTCATTACCACCCTTGCGTATATCGGCATAGGTTCTTTAATCTCCTTACGTTGCAGCATTTCGAACTACCCTTCTCATCAGCTGCACTACTGCACGCATCTCTTATGGGAAAGATGTGGATCAATTACGAATCAATTAGGAACAAAAATTGATACCAAGGGGTAGCAAGAAAAAAAACCTCGAGGCTTAAAGAACCCCGAAGGATTACCATTTACGGCGAGGTGCTAATATTGATTGGTCGGTCGCAACAGCCGCGATGATGCAAGTCGATCTCGGAAGTATTCCGATTTAGATGGACGTGTTTCTGACATGTAAGCTCGCGAAGATCAATTAACTGCCGTCTTCCATGTCTTCCATAGGCGATGGGCGTCTTTGTAAGACGGTCACGACAGCCATTGATATGATCGGACCCGACACCATGGAATCCTTGGTTCTGCCTCATCTGATAGGTGCATCATGCTACCCTTCCAATTTCAACCGTTCCATGGATGGATCAACTAAGGCTCAACTGCAACTGCAGAACTGCAAACATGAAAGATGGGTACCGCGCTGCGATTCGGCAAAGCTTTCAATTTTATGATGTGTCACTTTTTGTTAGACTCGCACCCTTTCCGATATAGACAAGGATTTACGATATGTCCAGATCGAGCGACAAGGGTTCCGATAAACATCAGACGAGTGGATTATTATCAAATTACCCTTGATTTTTAATATTACATGCTGCATATGCTATACTCTTTTATTTTCGGTCTTTTCCTTCTCTGTGTCCAATCGCGTAGCACAGAAAGAGGCACGGATGGGCCCTTGTGGTGTTTGCAGCTGAAGCGCTGAAACACTGAAACAATCTCAGCAAACAAGCAGCTTGTTTATTACTATGTACTCATTTCTAAAGACATTGAAGGGGTTCGGGTCTAGGGGCTTGAATATATTTGTACGACATCCAAGGACCCCCCTGGTCATGTCTCATCAACCGACTTCGACATTGTCATCCATCGTATCCTACCAGATAGTTGGGCCCGACGACTCTGAGGCCACCTTCTAAGTCCTAAGACGCTAGAGGAGCCAAAGGGTATCCATGTAGGGCTGGGCTGTTGCAAACCCAGTGCTACCCCATCCCAGACTATTGGAAAGAAGAGGCTGAGGGAGTCTTGACGTCGTATCAGCGAATGTTCCGCAGGAGCTGAGAAGCTGAACTCGAACAGCTGGACCTGCAGCCGCGCCCCCCTGTAGGGTTTAAGATCTACACTAGAAGGCGGTTTCGTCACCGGCGTCGATCCCGACAGGTCATCACTCACATTTAAAAAACCGAGAGGAATTTCCCATCCTAAAGAAAAAGAAATGCCACCAATGCAGCTACCCGCACGGCTCATCCCCGAATACATACATACATACAAACGCATAACGGTCAGTAGTCCAAACCCCCTCCCCATTTTCACCTACATGAACGCAGGGAAGCTCTCTGACCAACCAGTTCTGCTACCACGGCATTGGTCTGACGCGGAACATTCGGCCAACCTTCCAATTCTTTCCCTAAGCCGGTCATCTCCACTCCACTCGGTGTAGGCTCGACCCAAAACATAACCAATTCGACGAGGTGTTCATTGGCTTGGGATATGAAACATCTGAAGGAACCCCCACCCATGTTCTCCTTTGAGTAAAGCTTACGGTCTAGGCCGTCGTGCAATATGCATGCAGGCTCCATCTTGCATGCATAGATACATTAAATGGGAAATAGGGGAGAGACGCAGGTTCGTCACATGTGTCATCTCACGGGACGCTCCCGCTCTTGGACCTGCAGGAGATCAGCTGTTTCATCGCCGGGTGCGGAGCCGGTGTGGCCCCCCCTCAGCCGGAACGCCGCTAGTCAAGGTAGAATAGTTTGATCGCCATCGCTCATTGCGGATTGTGGCGTCGGTCGGTTTGGTTTACCTAGCTTCTTTCGATCTTCTTTCGATGTCTTTCACGAGTTTTCCCATTTTGCGTCGAGGCGTGGAGAAAGATTCCTATGCGTCCTATCTTATCGTAACGGCGACCGAACTGCAGGTAGCCATGACAGAATGGGTCATCCCGAAGTGGTCCCCGAAAGGAGTCATACGTTCCTGTTTGGGAAGAGAGGCGGGAGGAAGATGGGTAAGAAAGGGGAATCATGTCCCGTCTGGGAATATTTGTGCTACTTACTTTATGCGGCTGGCCGTGGCCCTCTACCTAATTGGCGTATGCAGCGGTGAAGTTGAAGTACTTCTTTCTAGAGTGCCAAATATGTAGGTATATTTCTCCATTTAGATCCTTCGAAAAGGGGCACATTGATCATCTGTCTTGAGAATATCGTCCTTTATGCCATACTTTTCTCTTTACGGACTACCCAGATATATTTGGACATTATACTGATATATTGTAATTTAACTATTTAACTACAGAGAATACTAATTTATGTTTAATGTTCTCGAGCCTTAATTGACTTCAAGTCCCTTGCATAGGATATATCTGAAATGACATGATCGTAATGAGGAAACTGGTTTTTCCACTACTTAAATAACATTTTTACAAGTTCTTTAATGCATTTATGCCATTATACTTATATTACTTAAGTTAATAACAGTAGTCCGTCTTGTTTATATTTCTTAACTCCTATGCTATTAACCAGTAGTCCTATTAAGAACTTCTTAGAGAAATATAGTGGAAATTTTCGTTTACATACTTAAACTATAACTACATGTATCAACCTCGACTTACGATAACTAGGTAGTTCTAATCTAATTTACACTAAAGATCCTACGGTGCATTTATGCTAGACAATGTCGTTAATAAACCGGAAACTACCCTAAGTTCCTTTATAATGGCTAAATGCTGCGAAACATGTTTATTTGGCCAAAATCGGCAAGTTTAAGTTGGTAAGTGGTAATATATAAGAGTGGTAACTACCTATTATTCTAAGTTTATAACTCAGTATTTGCCTCTGCTTTTGAGCAGACTACTAAGAATATCCGCAGTTCTGGGTGGTAGGTATGTAACCGCAACATATAGGGGTTGTCACCTGCAACTCTCAGGTGCTTAAGAATACCGCAACCTACTAGATAGCCATGCTTGGGAGCGGTTGCACGTGGTAGGTGTAGCTATGATATACTTTTTGCACACTTCTCCGAACCCCCAATCTGAAGCTTATTCGATCTAGTTGGCCCCGGCCTAATAGTTACGGAACGAAGGGATAGAAAAACCTACCATCATCGTCCGGTATTTTCGTTGAACTCGGACTTGATCTCGTGGTAGGGCGCGAACTTGGTCTTACTCCTTGGTCTTACTCCTTGGTCAGGTATCCCTTAGAAACTAGCGTTTTGTAAAGTTTTCTTGTTCCCGTTATTCTTGTATTTTAGGTAAGGAATTTCTTTTCTTTTCTGACCCTTCCTATAAAGTAGGGGAGGAAACGCAATGTTTAAGGAACGAGATCTTTTTACTTTAACATAGATGATAGGTACTGAATATATTTCAAAAATAAATTTATAACTCCGACTTAATTTAATAATCTTGCTACATAGAGAAAAGACGTAAGATAGAATCAAAGACCGAAGTCTTTCGAGAAGCCATACACCTAAAAGCAGGAGGTGGTGGGGAGAAAGTATAGATTCCCCTTTTCCCTTTCGATGGTGCTAGGTACTGCTTATTCCGCTGCCTTCTATAGTATATCGTAAAAGCAATGTGGATTTAGTCTTGGGTCTCACATTTGACTTATTGAAGATCGTCTAACTAGTAATCCTACATAAACTCATATTAGAACGAGAAATATTTACTAATAAACATATTGATAGTAGCAAGTATCCCAACTTAGACAGTTTAGAGTATTTATCCTAGGATGTTACCGCGCCTCTAAACTAACCATGGAAGCCAGTGGCTATCTATACGTACTGAAAGTATACTTTATTTTATTTTAGATATCGCATATACCCAGATAGAATCATATACCCAGATAGAATCCTAATGAAACGTTAACCGTTATCCCTGTCGCCCCCATGACTTCAAAACATGCATCACCGTCTTGTAAATTACTTAAGAATCAGAACTCAGCACTACCTCTTCTCTCACTGGCTCACTCTTTAACCTTTTCGCCGTATCAGCGTTACCTAGGATTCTAGATGCGATATCAGGAACCTAGTATACTTTAAGTATGCGTAGATAGCCACGAGCCCCCATGGTCAGGCAGGCTTCAAGTACCTACCTATGCCCCCTATTCCCACCTAATAGGTAGGTAGTTAAGATATAAGCGAGCAGCGGCTACCTATTGCCCAAGGAGAGAGACTGCATTTCCTTGCCTAGTAGGACATATTCCGGCAGACAAGAAGAGGGATCTTCCTGGTTTTTTTTTATTCTAAGGCTTCAAGATACCTAGCATCTAAATCTTTTATTAAGACTCAAAGCGGACCTTATATCGTAAGTCACCTTGGCAACTATATTTATGCACGGATACAACTTCTGAGGCTATCTCTGGGAACTCGTCATTGAGATTACAGATTACATACTGGATCCCCTCTTAGTACCTCGTCAAAGTTCCCGCTCACTCCAAATAACACACCTCCCCGTTTTCGACTTGCGAGTGACATTAATAATCACCAAGTCTTCACAGATGATAAAGTCCACCTGTTAACAAGCACAAGAACAAGCGCAAATTCGTCCCAGGCTTCATAATTCATTACTACGGCCACATGGCCGGTGGTGCGGCTAGGTATCTAAAACTGATCTGTTTTAAAACCCATATTAGCACCCGATTCGCATCGACAACAAACACCCCTAAGCCGGGGAAAGGGGAAAGGGGAAAGCAAAACTTACCTAAAGTCATGCTCATGCTAACGTCAGTATTCTCGACCATCTTAGTGAACTCCTCGAAGCTGATTTTGCCGTCCTTGTCGAGGTCGGCCTCCATGATGGTCTTGTCGACGATCTGCTGGAGCTGCTGGTCCTTCAAGTTGCTCCCAACCATCATCTTAAGCACGATGAACAGCTCGCCGTTGCTGATGTACCCGTCCCGGTCGATGTCGTACACCTTGAATGCGAACCGCAGCTTCTGCTCCTTGTTGCCCTTGCTGCTGAACGCGCTCAGCCCCGACACGAACTCCTGGAAGTCTACGTCCCCGCCTCCGTCCTCGTCGAAGATGGCTATCATTCTGTTTGTGAGGGGAAACATTTTTGGATTAGTCTCGAGTTTCCATGAAGGTGTTTAGTAGTGGTGTAGGGGGCTAGGAAATCTGAGTGGGCGGAAGGCTGTACCTCGTAGCGAGCGGGTTTGACGATATTTGCGGTAAGCTAAGAAACTCTTCTCGTTCGATCGTGCCCGAGTTATCCTGTAGGAGCCATTGATATTAGCTCGGGCGTATATCGAAGGAGGGCGCTGTGTACTTTATCAAGCTTCATGAACCTCTTCCTCAGCCTATCGACCTCCTCCCTGTCGACTACACGGCGCAATTAGGACTACACTCGACACTCGACGGTACCCACGATGGGGGCTGAATACATACAGTTCGACCCCTGAACGATATTATCTAGCACGGTGCTCGTTGTATTCCCCATATTGCCGGGAAGCCCCTTGGCGGAGGCGGATTCGAAATAATGGGACGGGGAGGCTGGATAAAGAGCTGTTATGTATATTTGGAAATGTATTTGGAAATGAAAGTCGGTTGGTTAAATAAAAATATCACTGGGGTATGTTCGAAGTTGCGTCAAAGGAACGGGGCTCTTCGTGGGGGTTGGGGGTTGAAAGATGCTATAATATTCAGTGAATATTATTCACGTTCCGCCTGCGATGTTCCGCTTGTGATGGATGAGGCTGATGGAGAGTTGGGTGGGAACGCGGGTTGGTGGGGTCTCTCTTGACGAGGCGACTTTTAGATCTTAATTGTCTTTTGTACCTAGATGATTGGAGAAGCACAGCCGCATCTGATAGCTCAAGCCACAGGATGCCTTGGATCTTATCAGATATGACTTGTGGCTGAGAACTTGTGGCTGAACATGACCAATTCGACTCGTCGGACATAGGAGAAAATGCTCCTGCAACCAAGAAATCCAGAGCTCGAAGATGCAACATACGATCTAACGACATCTACAGCTGCATGCAACTAAAGTACACCGCTGCATGCAAAGATAGAAAATATTTTCAACGAGATGCACGATGCGTTGGTCAGATAAGTTGCTTTTAGGTAGGCTAGCGCGGCCGTTTATTGTTTGCGAATACATACATGCATATCTCAACATACATGTGTGTCTAGAATGCATAATTCTGGGCTATATACGGATTAGATAGGTCCCTCATTTTTGCAGGTAGGTTACCTAGTACGGATCCGTACCTTAAGGTAAGGTAGTGATGACATGACCCCAATAACGTTATCAATATGGTTTATCAATATGGTTTATGCCTCGTGTTCGTTACTCGTAAAGAAAGAAAAAAGGGGGATCTAGCAAGTGCTAACTACATAGGAATAGGTTTGTAACTTTACCTGGAAAGTACATATCAGGTTCAAGAATAGAAAGCAAAGAGGTGCCTAATGCGCAAGTACTACTTGTGTCTTTTACTGAGTGCTATCGTACTAGGTACCCCGGGTTCCCCCTTTTCCCTTCCCCTCCCCCAAAAAGTTGTTGCCCAAAATTGCACGCCGCCAAGCTGCAGCCAATCAGGATCCAGGAATCTAGACAGTTACGGGCTAGGAAGGCTAGAAGGAAGGCGTAAGTCCTTGTTTTGGTGGGGCTTTCTTTCACACAGAGCACTCTGAGCACTCTGGCCCTCTGCACAACCTGCACAATCACTACTATTCTCGTTTTGTTGTTGCTGCTCGGGCTGCCTGCGGCGTCCAAGCAAAAATTTGCGCCCCAAAACAATTCAACGTCACCTCATCCCAAGACGATACTTTAGCCATCAAAACAAACGCCAAAGCAACACTTAAAACACCTAAAAAATTAATTTTTCATCGGTGCATGATCTAAATTTTTTGGTTCCCGAATTTTTTTCGGGGTTTTCCGACCTCTTTGTCGTTTTTTCCCCTACCATCCTCCCACACCGCTGACCGCCATGTCGACCCGGAAAGTGCGATACAAGAAACTTAACATCAAAACCCCTCTACCCGTACTTCGGGAAGACCAAATCGACCCCAACGAATACGAATCTCTCACAACCGAATCACAAATCGCAACTGGTGTCGAACAGGCGGAGGAAAATGTGAGTTATCAATACTTTTCTTACCTCGAATATGCATATCACGTGACATGTCACGTGCTACAAACGCTCTTGTCTTACCCATTTTGATATCAAGAGATATCAAGATATATCAAGATAACGTCAACCACTTACCATAGGCTAACATGCCTACCAATAGGAATACCATCTGCAGGCTGCCCTTAGAGGGGTTGGTGCGAGTACGGATAATGAGATCCCAGTGCCGCCGCCGCAGAAGAGCGAGGCGGACTATAATGAGCTGTATCCCACACCATATGTAGAGCCCAGAAATTACATAAAGTTCTCCGAAACTGTTGAAGAGACGCTCGGCTGTCTCTATGATATGACTACAGAGGATGAGGAATACCTCAAGTCCTACAATGCTAAGTGGACAGGAAGCACTCAGCTCTCGGAGGATGATTTCGAGCGGATAATGGAAGTATTCGAAGATACCGCCGCAGAGCAAGCTCCTTTTGCTGCAGTTGACAATACAGTAGTGCCCTTTGACGTTATGGCCCAGGCTATGAACCATATAGTCCCCGTCAAGCTCATCCAAGCACATGCTAAGAATGTCTACGAGTACTGGAAGACTCGACGGCAGGCGAGCGGCAGCAGGAGCTTAAACCCCTCGCTCAAGTTCGAAACTCATCAAGAGCATGATGATATGGACCCTTACGTCTGCTTCCGAAGGCGTGAAGTCCGACAGACGAGGAAGACAAGGGCACGCGACGCGCAGGTGAGCGACAAGTTAAAGAAGTTACGTAGGGAACTGGAAGATGCACGTCAGATTGTTGTCTTCTCATACCAGCGAGAAGTATTCAAGCGGGAGCTTTTGCGCAGCGATAGATCTATCTTCGAGCAGCGAAACAGCCTCAAGGAGAATAAGAGCCGCCTCGGCATCAAAGGTGATGACGAAGACTTCTATAACGCTAGACCGCAGAAGCGACCTAGGACAGAGGCGCAACAACCAGCGCGCGCCGGTCCTCATGGTCAGCTCCGTCTGATTGTCCGCCCTGACGGAGGACGAACTGTGGAACCCGCCGATCTTGCTATCTTGGCTGATAAACTCGCTGAGAAGGAGAATGAGTTGCGTAACGATGTTGAGATGAAGATACAGAACCATAGGAGATGGAACAACAACTATGTGGATCTGACTGCTGACCCGTTACCTCCCGTCCGGGAGGAGAAGGAGCTAAGCTTCAGGCCGGCGAAGACCACTTATTTAATGACTCCGCCGGCATCTGCATCAGATTCCATGGAGCCGGACGAGGAAACCCAATTAGATTCGCTTCAGTCTTTCCAACCACTCAGTTCCAATAGTATCAACCTAGGTGGCGCAGAGCCTGAAGAGATGTGTTCGTACCGTCGTCGTATAGGGCGATTAAATCGCTTGTTTATCGACCGTCGGCCACCCAAATTTAATGGGCACAAGAGTCCTCCGCGTGAGATGGACTTTACTCAAAGTGACCGTTGGAAATATGACCAGGATGATGATGACGATGACCAGCCGGTGTATGAAGTGGACCCCAACAGCTCTCGTCAGATGAAGTTCCGGTCGACAATACCGCCCTCGCCCTTCTTGTTCAAGAGACAGGGTGTCGATGCTGCTGCTCTCCAGGCGGGTAGCGTAACTCGCCAGGCCCTCCCGCAAGCCCAGGCCCCAACGGCCCAGCCTCAGTCGCAACGACCACCTCAGACATGAGATGAATCTCTAGTCAGGCCCTAAGCAGCCTAGTGAGGGCTTTTAAGGTTGATCTGGAGGGATTGGTGGAAACTGAAACGTAGCGCTCGAGTAATGCTTTTCCTGGGCAGTAAAACCCCGCATAGCAAACAAACAACCATCTTTGAGTGTCTCAAGTGGTTGCTCGATACACAGCAGTATACCATTTCTCGAAAAAGGCGAGTGCGTTCAACCGTTCCGTCGTGCGAACAAGAGCGGGCGTGAATCGTATCGACCCTAAGCGCGCTCCATTCGGCGATATTTTGAGCATAAATATCTGATTGCTCTGCTGGTTTTATCGTCGAGATCAAAGATCGACCGATATACTCATCCCTCTCCGCCAGTTTTCATAAGTTCGCATCAGCAACCTGTACATAGTCCCGCGAGCATATGAACTGAACGAAGATGGAAAACCGAGGGATGTAGCCGATTAGTATTTTCATGTAATATATAGTATGCAGAGCGATATGCATAGCCGGCGGAGTTGGGGGCGCGCTCAACCATGATGTTTAGAGCTCTGAATGATGAAAGAGGCAAAGAGCACCAATGTATGAATACAAATACCTCGTGTTCTATTCGTGGTCGTGTTTGATTTGACTGGTCTGCGTGATGCCCGTCCCCATATTCGATAATTCTTTCCGTAGAGGCTGTGGGACTGTAAGTGTTGTCGATGTATAGTTTTGCACAATTTGGCAAGCAGTCATGCTTCGACTGGAGGATTTACCCCTGGTGAAAGTATTGACGAGTTTGCGCTGCTCTTAGCATGCTGCTCGAGTCATGTCCGAGGCCGAAACAGCGACAGCCCCTATTCTTCGATCAAGGATGCTCATCGCAAAATGTATTGGACTAGGACATAAATCGCCGTGCGATAATACGGACTTGAACGCTTCCGCTTCTCGATTCTCCTAACTTAGGACGATCGTAGGGTATCAGAGCTTTCTAGGATTGCCATGACTTAGCTTATATGCATAATTTAAAAAAGCAGGATGAAAATTTTTGAAAAGTGTAAACTCAAATAGAAAGGTAACCTCAAGTATTGGAGTTTGACGCCGCTGGTCAAAGACCTTATAGCTAATGTGGTATTCGATGTCGGAGATACCGTGCGGAGAAAATGATATACATGGGTATTGCGATTGTAACGAAAAGCCAGAGGGGGACTTACGAATTAATATATGGCCACTAGATTACCAGAGGCGGATTAAAAGCACAAAAATAATGCGCTTTGAACAGTTGACGAAACAACCGGCGTAAGGTAGGCGTTGCGTTTATGTCAGCGACCTCGGCGCACTGCCACGGCCTCGAGGGAATCCTTCTCGGGTAAGCAAGGTATACTCGGCCGTAACCCGGTGCAGGACCATAACGAGGATAGAGTCAGGAGGTCTAAAAGAATAGTAGTATTAAAGAGATTATCCGTCTCTTCCTAGCGTTGACGATTCTGTAGTCGGTAGTGTGTGTGACAGAGGTCGATCGGGTGGAGAGTCTGGGATTTCGCACAGTCGCAGGACTGCTGACCTGCAGGAGAAGCTCGCAACGGATAAACAGCTAGTAGATACGGCCATTGTCTTGAATTGCAGGAGATTCTAGGTTGTGATAAGGTTGAGAATATCAAGGGGATATTACCTGCGAGGAAGAAAAGGTCAGCGATGGTTAGAGAACGGGTTAAATGGGTGGTCGTCTCGGATTACCGACCAGAAATGGCGAATCGCTACACATGCAGCTCCTGTTTAAAAAGTACATGCATAGACAGGGGGGCCGATACGGATGGAAGACATAAGGAATATAAGAGGCTAGTTATAAAGAATCGGAAGTATTGGGAAAATAGCACGGGAGTAGACGTCAAGTTTTGTGGGATGAAGGGTAGAAGTAAAAAAGCGATTTGGGAATATTTCTCCTTGGTGCTAAGTGCTAAGTGCTAAATGCTAAAGAGGACTGAAGGCTTATTATTACCCGTCAAGAAACGTTAGGTGAGTAAGTGCGGTTTGCCCCACTCTATGTAGCGCAACTCGACAGACGGCCAACTGGTACCTAAACTTTAAGGCGTCGCAGACCCACCGGTGAAGCTGTACAATACACTAGCCAATGGGGGAAGACGGTCTATCGATAAGGGTCGTCAGCTTAAAGATTTAGTCGTCATTCGTCATTGGAGGGGTCTCTGCACCTGCGTTCCCGCTCTTACATGGCAGATAGGCGAGGGACCCCACCGCGAGATAGCCTCATAGCAGCTACATACATACATACCTCTTTCTTATACTCTTTCTCATACAGATCTATTCTCATATAAAACATTCTACGTATACCATAGAAACTCTAAATATGCTAATACTATAGCCATACGTATAAACATATGTTTTAAACGAGCTAACTACGACAATCATTCTTCTTCAAGACTCTAACTTTATAAAATCTATAACTAAACACCGCCTAACTAGCTTAGCTGTTCCATACTATTACCTACTACCGCAGCCAACCATCACAACGCCTTAACTTACGTACCTCTCTCAACCCACCAGACAAAACAAAACAAAACAAAACAAAACAAATCAAGCCAAGCCAAGCTAAGCCATGGCAGAACAACCCAACACCAACACCACCACCACCCCCCTCCTAGCCATCGGCTGCGAGGGCAGCGCCAACAAGCTCGGCATCGGCATAATATCCCACGACCCAACCACCCACAAATCCGCCATCCTAGCCAACATCCGCGACACATTCGTCTCGCCCCCCGGCACCGGCTTCCTCCCCAAGGACACGGCGCGGCACCACCGCGCCTTCTTCGCGCGCCTCGCCCGCGCCGCCCTCGCCGCGGCCGGCATCTCCCGTCCCCAGCAGCAGATCCACTGCGTCTGCTACACCAAGGGCCCCGGCATGGGCGCCCCCCTGCAGTCCGTCGCCGTCGCCGCCCGCACCCTCGCCCTCCTCTGGGACCTGCCCCTCGTCGCCGTGAACCACTGCGTCGGCCACATCGAGATGGGCCGCGAGATCACCGGCGCCGCCGACCCCGTCGTCCTCTACGTCTCCGGCGGCAACACCCAGGTCATCGCCTACGCCGAGCGCCGCTACCGCATCTTCGGCGAGACGCTAGATATTGCCGTCGGCAACTGTCTCGACCGCTTCGCGCGCACCCTGGGTATCAGCAACGACCCCGCTCCGGGGTATAATATCGAGCTGTTGGCTCGTCGGTCCTCGGGTCGCGTCTTGCTTGATCTGCCGTATGCGGTTAAGGGTATGGATTGTAGTTTCAGCGGTATCCTGACCGCGGCCGATTTGCTGGCCGCGCAGATGCGCGAGCAGGAGGCGCGTATTGCGGCGGGCGAGGAGGTCAAGGAGGAGGATAGGATTACGCCTGAGGACCTGTGTTACAGTCTCCAGGAGACTATTTATGCCATGCTCGTCGAGATCACCGAACGCGCCATGGCACACGTGGGCAGCAACCAGGTGCTTATTGTAGGCGGCGTAGGGTGCAACGAACGCCTGCAAGAGATGATGGGGCAGATGGCTAAGGAGAGAGGCGGAAGCGTATATGCGACTGACGAGCGCTTTTGCATTGACAATGGCATCATGATCGCCCATGCAGGTCTACTAGCCTACGAGACAGGATTCCGTACGCGCCTAGAGGATAGTACTTGTACGCAACGGTTTAGAACAGATGAAGTCTATGTCAAATGGAGAGATTAAGAGCAATCTAATATGCTCGATTGTGATTGTGCTGAATTTCTCTAAATTCACTACCAGCATTGTCTAAATGGATTCCGTATGCCGTATGTCCTGCCTGCGCAAGCTATAACCTTTACATCATACGTATCCTTCTATGGTTTCATGGAATCGTATTATTATCCTCGTACAACCTGTTTTTATGGTTTGAGTCATTGCGCAACGCGTTATACACGAACAGCCCATTACCGAATTCATCTTCTTCTTGCTGATGCGAGACGCCGCACTAATTGGTGCTACACTCCAAAATCCGGAGTCGTGTGTTCTAAGCACAGCATATAGGGTTTCTCCCCTGTCCTGATTGCAAGCCCACAACGGGATATCTTGCTCTCGTTGAGATAAGCTCCCGCGCAATAGGAAATGTGACGTATCTGAGGGACATCCGACACAATCTCATACTTTTACGACGATCATCGAAGAAAACTATTCGCTCTTCGTAGCCTTGTAAATAATTGTAGTTACGTACTTTATAGCCGTTAGCTCTAAGAGTCTGAGAAAAGTATAACAACCATAGGTAACGTACCTTATTCTGGTACCTGGTAGTGGCCGATACGGCAAGAACATTGTTCTTAATACTACAAGTGGCCAGGTGATTAAGCATGGTGTGGTTTGGCATGTTCAGGACGCTGTTGTCATCCTTGATCAGTGTGACATTGTTCATGATCGGCTTACTCAAGAAACCAGGTAGGCTGGGCGGTGGCGGGAGTCGTTCGAGGGCCAAGGAAGAAATTCTATATGCTGAAGAATCTTCAGGCTGGTCAAAATCGTCTAGATATTGGGGAATCTTGCCCGAGAAGTTCTCGATTGGATCTATGACCTTCTGCTGGGGACCCCTAGCAGAGTCGTCGTGCGAAGGCTGCCTTGAAGGAAGAGATAGAGCAGCCTCGTTCGATTTAGGAACACCGACATCTAATGGGACGCTCCGCGAGTCGGTATTGTCTCCGCTTACTTCAATATAGTTTACCAGATTGTTTCCAAAATCGACAGTAGTAGGCAGGTCTGGCGACGTCTGCATATTGCCATCGACCAAGAATTTTATATGATGCGTGCCCGGAAAAACGGGTATTACCGTCTCTAGCACACCGTCTCTATCCTTACTATACAGCCCGAGATGTGTCAGCAGTCAACGATCAAGGGTCTTACTTGCTTAGCCGATGTTACCTGGCGCACCATATCGTCGCCTGGTCGCCAGATATTTGAAGCCGAATTAATAACCACGAGAAGACAAAACTCACGATGGAAGCAATCGCTGTTTCCTACTCCATTGAAACGGCGTTCCTGTGACATAGACTTTCTGGCCGCCCCGCGACCACTCAATCCGGGTTGGTATCGTAGGTCTCGTCTTGTCAACCCGGAGTTCTTCGGTGTCATCCTCGTCAGTCGCATTGCTAAGTCCTGATGTGCGACGAGTCAGACTGACCGAATCCTCGAGAGATGCGTCGTCAACATCCTTAACGTCAGCATCACTCGGCGCGATGATGGGCGACCCGGGAGTATGGATCTCTTCCTCTATCGGGAGCGGGAGGCGCGGCGGCCGAGGGTGTGGATAGGACATATCCTGGATACTACTGGAGGCGGGGCCTGATAATAGGCTGTCCTCGTCATGGAAATCGTGGGCGTAAGATGAGGCCTGTTCCGAATGGGAAGAGGAGAAGGGAACGGCTACAGGCTGGGAGTGTTCATCTTGAATCTCGGCAGGCTTCGGCTTCTGCTCGGGAACCTTAGGAACAGCGGTAGGGTAGTAAGAGCTAGCTGAAGGTGAGGACGAGTTAAGTATAGAGAGCGGTCTCGAATTCTTGTTAAGTATCGAAGTACCGGTTGCCTGGATTGTCGAGGCTTCGGGAGAGGCTGGTGACCTAATGTGCTGGTTATGGATGGATACCAGGTTCTTGGGTTGGTTCTTGGAAGCTCGCGGAGACTCGTGCGACGAAGACGAGGCAGTAGTGGGGGTAGCCGGCTTCGAGGTTGAGGAAGGGTTGTTCCCCATTGTTTGGCGTGGGGGACTGGGGGAGGAAAGGATTCCCCCTTTTTGATGGTTAGGCTTGCTTGTTCCTATGGGAATTTAGAAAGGGGCAATGGGCTATGGGTAATAGGTAATGGGTATTGGGTAGGTATCTGGGCAATAATGGTTCAATGAGGGGGGGAATTGGCAATGGTTCTCAATGGTCAATGGCGGGGAAGTCAGAAGCTGACGGGGCGGGATGTGATGCGTCGTACGTGGGCCGTAGGCAAGTTGCGCGGGTGCCGCAAGAGAGCAGCGGTGTGACCGAAGGGGATTTACTATGTAGAATTGCTTGGGATTTGGCTGGATTTGTCGGAAGTGAGTCAAGCTGAGGACGAGTAAACGTGGATCATGGCAAGCAAAAATTGGTCATGAGACCGTTTTCGCGATTTTTAAGAGGTAGTTGGAGTGATGAGACAAGGGAACAAGGGAAAAAGAAAAAAGCACGGGTAAACGATTGGGTAGTTGGGGGAAGATCTAAACGAGGAAGGACGAGGTTCAGGTCCAAGTTTAGGTTGTCTAGGTTGTTTAAGGTTGTCCTTCCATGATACTAACCGCGAATCCAATCGATCGATATCCCCTGCTCTTTCCTGCCGTTCCTCCCCTTGCCCGCCTTACTACGTAGTCCCGGGCAGTCAGCAAATAGGTGGTGCACGAACCATAAGCCAATTATCACCGCAAGGGTCCAAGTACCTAAGTGCGTAATCAGACTAGTCCAGGTACTTTAGGTATAATGTACCTAATTATACTCATGATTTCATCATTTCTACGTAGAAACTTATATATAATAATCTGACGACCTATAGACATGAGGTTTATTCAACTAAGAAGAAAACTACAAAAAGAAAAAGAATAGTTATTCGCATTAACATACTATATGCATTATTGTTTGTTTATATGAGACGATAAAAGAGACATTTTGATATATACATGCATCACGAATAAAGATGTCTATGTCCTCGTCGAGGTCAGTCAGCGGTGAGCAGCCCCAACGAGATATTAGAATTCTTAAGAGGTACGTACCGGATACAAATTACCTCGAGCCGATCGAACCCGCTTGGCTGCACGTGGGTAGGTACAGCATTCAATTACATAACAGCCTTGAGCCTCTCCAAATCTTTCTCGTGACCCTGAAGTTTCAAATACATTACTGGAAGCCACATGCAAGCTTCGATCGACTTGATCATCGATTGGAGCTAAGTTACAAACCTGTCTCGACTTTCTAAAACCCATCTTACAGAGGTACTTACACTAGGTACCTACCGACTTACCCCAATTCGGATCGGACAACGGCATTCAAGTATTGATGGTAATGGTACGCGTTTTGTGGTACCCAAGTAGATCATCTGAATCTGTACCTAACCTATGCGTTCCCAAGACCGGAAGTGTCACTACCGTCATACCTTATCCGACGACTACTCGGTCAAGAGAGCGAGATAACTGACATAATATACCGGAAAGAACAATTCCACAAACTACAACCTGCAAACTGCAAACTACCTTTTTCGCCGGTTGACTTTTGACTTCCAAGTTCTCCAGTTACATAGAAACAACACAAGAAAGATCATCGGTCACGCCGTGTCCAGGCTTATACGGGCCACGAGGCCAATCCGCGGCAATGGATTGGCTAAAGTTCCTGAAGCCCTTACAAACGTTTGGCACCTCATTTCTGTATCCCGCGCTCAAGCTTGTGCTGAAGCTGTGCTATATCGTCATGATACCTTTGTACTATCCAGCCTACTATCTCTTTACCCTGGTCGTGTTTCTCTTGTCTCCCGTCTGGTACATGCTTCACTCGATCTCGAGTACGACTGTAGCTGTTGTGGGTTTGATTGCTAAGCTCAAGGTATTCTCCTATAGCCTACTCTGCGATACCCTTCATAATTCGCCCGCGTAGATAGTCAGGCTCGGATGCTAATTGTAAGATAGTACCTCTATATTTACGTAAGGATATCCAATTACAATAGCATAATGCTCGGGAGCGCCGTTACTCGTACTAATCTTAATACCCAATGTAGCTCGCCTGCGCAGCTATTATAGGTATATGCGCCGGCTGCGTACTCTATGGGACGTCCAGCCTCGTCTTCGTTACGCTAGGTGTCGATGCGTCACAAGATCGAGATTCGGATTATCCTAGGAAGGGTAAACTCCCACTCTCATATGACGGCTATCAGGATTCTCATGAGCCAGACTCTGGTGCTCGTTCCGGGGACGGCTCTGGCAAGCTATCCACAACCAGTTCATCATCGAGTCGTATGAAGTCAAAGCAGCAAGCGAAAGAAGATGCGAACGAAATATTCGAAAGGCAGTTGAAGCTACTGAGGTCTTCTAAAAAGCCGAAGAGACAACGTAGAGGGTTACTTTTTCAGACGATTCACGAGGAGAGCAGTAGCGACTTTTCGTAATGACCTCGACGAGCCCCTGGGGCGGTACCTCCAGGCTATTCTGCACCCGAGTCGTACGTAATCGGCAAGTGTCAGACTCACACATTAACCTATAGTATACTACAGTATACAATCGCCGTTAACTAGACACAATAGTCCACGGGGGAGCTCATGGCTACTTACCTAACTACCTACCTACCTAGCTAAACTATTATTTCAGGCCAGGTCGCGGCTAAAAAGCCCGAGACTCAAAATATGATACTTCCAAACCCGTCAGGAGTCGGACAAAGCCCGCCTCTGTCAAGCTAGTAGCTATACTAGAGATATTGGAAGCTAGCATTATTTATACCTTTCATGACATCTCTATAGAAGATACCTACCCTCAACAAAATAAGCAGGTCTAGTTTGATGCCTGTATGTCAAATTATAATTATGTACTTATAGAATATAAACCAGTAATAAAGAACGCGCAAGCATTACTCATATAATTACCATGTATCATCAGTATTAGCAGCACCATGTAGATTGGAGCTTGCCACGTCCCATACCCCCAGGGAGGTTGCGAAGAGGAGCTCACGTTCCGTTCGCTCAGACGTTAAATAGAACAACAACAACAAGCATTACTCATAAACGCCAAGCACCTCCACCCAAATTTACGCTACCATCACAATCAAATATCCAACAATATACAACACCCCCAGCAAACCTGCCTGCGAAAGACGTCCCGCCGCGGCCGTAGTAGTCGGCGACGTAACAGCTCCACCACCCGTCTCCGTACTCTGAACAGGCTCCGTACTAACGACCGATCCCGATCCCGATCCCGACGTGGACGTCTGAGTCGCCTGTCCGTCCTGATTACTCGTACCCTGCGGTAAACCCGATACAGAACTGACCCTAAACGGAGCCGTCCACGTATAACTTGAACTAGGCACAGACGGGAAGGTGGTCGAGGCTACTACCACGGGCGCCTCGCACGCCAGCAGGCGCGGCACCGAATCCGTCTGGAACGGGGGCGATACGTCGAGCGTGTCTTCGCATAGGAGGGGATCTGGGATCTTCTGCGCGAGCGCGGACGCGGCGGTGAGGATTAAAGTTAGGTATTTTTTCATCTTTTTTTCGTTTTTGTTTTTGTGAGTTGTTGTGTTATTTATTTAGTAAGTCATAGGTATTATAACGACATTGGGTTAGTTACAAGTTATATATACCTATACATAGGTATATACCCCTGTACCTAACTTCGCATGTTTAGCCTATCAGGATCTTACCCCTTACCAGTCGGGCGACTAGGCTTCATGTCACCTTCTTATTGAATGATCTGGGTTATATAACATCGCGTCTGAATGGAGATACGTATCTTGTCAAACATAACAGGGCAGTGGAACAATAGCGCCGGTTACTGTTTGCATAATGCTAACAATTGCTTTCTGTCGTTAGTAAGGCTTGATATTCATAAAATGTGAAATTCCATTTCTACCTACCTTGACATCAGCCATTCCCATAGCCTCCGCAAGCATTTGGATATCCCCTGTCAACTTCACAATACCATACTCACGATCTTCTAACCAACCCCAAAGATTGTCCAGAGCTTTCCCCCTTGCCTTGCATTTTTCACTTTAGGCTTTTCAGGCCTTCTCGATTCGTTTTTGTCTTTCGAGTATAACAGCAATATCCATCTTAGCTGTGTGCTTTTCCGCATTAAGATCCTCGTCAAGCTCTTCGGTCTCTTCGCCGTCGCCCGGGGCTCTGAAGGTGGCTAGATCGCAATCGACAACTTCTTTGTTGTCAGAATATAATGCTTCGTCTTCGGCTTCGTCCATTTCGTCGTCGTTGTTGATTAGGGTAGGAGTGTCCGGGATAGGTAGGTACTTAAGAGCGTATCGTCCATCTATCACACAGCACAAGGTGACCAACCCGGGTCACAATATGTTCAGTCTCGAGATTCACATTCTCATCAGAAATCTCCATATCCACAGCCTCCAAACTCATGATAGTAAACAGGAGCTGCGGTCTCCTGCGGAGTATGACCATCACTCCAACTATCCAAGCTATTCAGATAAAGGCTCCGGATAGCAGATGATAGCGCTATACTCAGAATAAAGCTAATAATAAGTTGATTAGGTAAATACGAGCCATATATATAATAGAAAGACTGTACGATGCTGTAGAAAATTAGTGAGAAAAAGGCTGTATTGTCACGAGGTGGAATCGAGCAGCATGGAAACAACTTCGTTGTTCTGCAAGGAACTCTAACCTAACTACGAACGCCTGCGGCTATACATACTGAACATGTCCTTTACTCTAGATGTCTCATCTCGAATCCTCACAATTTACATCGTATGTCGCTTAGACCCCTGCTGCACCACGGGTCTAGCGTTTGATATTTAGGAACGAGGTGAAGCTACCGACTGTAAGGCTTTAAGGTGAGTAAGAAGTTGATTCAATTGAAGTTTATGAGAGAACGGAGTTCTCTTAGACTAATTTATGTAAGTTAAACTAAGTAATCTGTATAACCTAAGTATAAGTACAAGCTAAGCTATTTTATCAATTGCCCCTTGGCAAAAAAGATCGCAACGTCCTCGTTGCTCGATACTTAAAGTGTTGCTTGTCCTTATCTGGTGTATCTACGATGCTCATACCCTTTGCAAGGCGTTGTATATCACCTTTCCATTGCAGAATTCTGTAGTCGTCGAACCCCCCATGATCAACGGTCCGATGTTGATTATCGCCGTTCATCTTGAAGTATTCCATCGGAACTTCGGCTGGTATTATTTAAGTCATTTTATGTTGTGATAGTTGACGCCTAAGAGTTTCCAGTGTTGTAGCGTAGATGAGACTCGTCCAACGTCATCAGTTAGCAGCCTTACTAAGGGCATCTGTTGCTTGTCCTCGGCATTCGAGATGGGTGTTTTAGTATCTTTCCTGCCAGTTGGCGGGATTGGGGTGGGGTGTCGTATACTCTTCGTCCAGCTGTTTAGCATGTTGCCAACATGTTAGGGTTCTCTGCTTTGTTGGTGGTTGCATAACCCAGGCCAATCCCAACCCAACCAATGCCTCCGTGATCCCGCTTGCTTTTGTGACGTTCCCAAGTGGTCTTTTGCTTAGCTCTTGGGTGTATGTCCTTTGCACTTGACAAAGTTCGTCCAGGCTTTGGGTTAGGTTTGCGAGTGTCTTGATGAGGTTGTTGGTTTCTTGTTGCGTACCTACAGGACAGTTCGGAGGACTCGAGCGACTTCGAACAATCACCCCGCAATCTACCAACCCCGAACCTAGTACCCGTCGAATCCAAACTCATTCACCACGTCGAATACAGGCCTCCGGCTACACTACAGTTGTGCGAGTCTCCGTGCTGGTTGTCGTTGAGGTGGTGGGGTCGCTTGAGGTCTTGCCCTTGTTGTTGGATGCCATTAAGGTAGGTACCATATCAGCCACCGCGGACACTTGATACAACACCCTCTGACCAAGACCAAACCATGGCCAACGCCGGAACAAGTCTCCGGTATTGTGATACATAGTAGTCTTCTTGTTTCCAATAACCACTTCTAGTTGTCGTCTTTAATTTTACAATGGTACACTGGACTTCCCGTGCTCTCATGTATGTTCCTAATATCAGATTAGAACCAAGCTCACCAACCTATCCGCTCCCACTATGGTGAAGTTCATACCTTCATGTAAGCGAGTACACGGTACTTCGTGTTCTTTGCGTCGTCTGGCAACTTCTAACGATGGTCCTTATATTCTAAGGACTCTGGGGATGTATTCCCGAGGGTCTCTTGTATGATTTCTTGGTTTTGGGTCGGTGTCTATTTATGGTATAATAGAACTGCCTATTCAATTCAATGTCGTTAATATATTCGATTGAACGAGCTTTAAATGAAAGTGCATAAGAAGGCATAGGTAGCAGCTCGTAAAACCGAAGAGATAATCCCTAAAGCCAAAACTAGAGCGACGAGGTCTGATTGATTGGCGCTTAGTTTTAATTATTAGACAAATAGAGCTGTTATTGAGTAGCTTACGTGGGTTGTGTTGGAGAAAGTTGTAGTTGTTATTTTTCGGACTGAGTTCAGAAAGTTCGGAATGGTAATTTAAGATGTGGCTCGGAGCATTTAAGTTCTACAAGACGCTCTTTCCTTGTCTAGGGTATCTGTTTATTAGGAGGTACCTGTTAGAGTTGTAGCGTATCCCAAAGCACAAGGAAACCACGACTTACTCTCGAAGGCAAACCTTATAGATTAGGTAGCTGTACTTGCCTACTGTATGCTGCAACACCTCATGCTTTGGCAGGTGCGAGCCGATGGTATGAGTTGCCAAGCAACAGTAGACATACCAAAGATGAAGGAAGTACCTAACCTAATAGCACTCCACGATATTATGTCATACAACACAAAATATACGTACAGAGAAATGTAGTGGGATAGTTGAGCATGCTACAAATTAAACCGTCAACTCTATAGCAAAACAATTATCGAACAACTTCGTAAAATGATACTATGCTGCTCTATTAACTCCTCTAATTACAAGTAGCTATCAAAGCAATATCAATGAAAAGACGGGCTCTTTAGATATAGAACCACTTATCTTCATCCAGTGCCACTTGTTGATTCTGCAATATGTAGCAATCCCGAGGCAAACCTCCAAAATAGTTACCGCTCGGCTCGTATGACTGTCGCAAAGAATCAAAACCAACTCTTTAACTATCTGAACTGATATCTTCAAGCCCGGCGTGACAACGCTTTCTCACGCGCCTAAGCCCAAATCACTACGCATATAACGCGGAACGCCAAAAACAAAACCATGTACCACGGCCCTTCCGTTGGCTTGCTGCATACCCTGTCCGCAAATCCGACCATAAAATGAGTTAATAGAGACTAGGGGAAAAGGAATCGTTCTTAGTTTTGGGGAAAATCGACTTGTGGGGAAGAGGCGGCGGCGGCGGAGGTGGGGATGGGGCATTTGACCTTCTTCTCCGAGGCTCATCGCGATTCTATCGCCGATATACGTCTCGATCTCTGTCCCGGACGGGCGAGCGGCTGCGACTGCGTGTTTGGCTCGCACGGCTACGGTCGTCGTAGTCTCCTTCGCGACGGTCCCGGTCACGTCGTCTACCATCTCGATCCTCCCATCTTCGACGATCATCTCTCGGTGGCCGATCCTCTCTAAGTGGTCGATCCTCTCTAGGTGGTCGATCACCGTCACGGTAGTGAGGGATGTAGGTGTCAACATCCGGTCGATTAGCCCCACGATTTCTCGGCGCCCTATCCCTGAATGAGTCGTGATGCTCGGCGGGGTTATCCCATCCATTTCCTGGGTATTCAGGTGGAGGGGGGCGTGGCGGTAATCGATGATCCATGTGAGGTTGGTCCCGGGCCCAGGCAGGTCGACGGCCCTCTTCGCCGCCCCGATATCCGCCGTGATGTTTGGGGTATCGTCTATTACCATACCCACCACTATTACTAAATTCCGCATTGGGACCTCCAAATGCACCGACACCGACAGTGCCGCCCTGAGGGGCGGGCGGTAGAGCAGCTTTTCGATCATGGAATTTCCTACGGTCCAATTCGTGGCTGTCCTCAAAGGTGGGGAGGTCTTCTGGTTTTGCCGGGAAAGGAGAAGACTTGAAGTAGGGGTGTTCTAGCGCATCGATGGCATTAATACGACTTCGCCAGTCAAGTGTCAGGAGCTCTTTCAATAGGGAGATAGCGCTTGAACCGTGTTCGCGGAATCGCTGCGCCAATGATGCGGGTCGCGGTCGCGGATTGATAGCCTCAGCACCAGGTAGCTGTTTCCATCCTGGCATGGTCTGCTCCGTCGGAGTCCCAACTAGGTCAAAGATGATTTCGAGCTGGTGCGTATCGCTCTCGCCGGCTAGGATGGGCTTGCCGACCAACATCTCACCGAAGACACAACTAAGGAAATCGTCAGTATAACACGTGATAATAAGGTGTCTTTGATTCTTACCCAACACCCCACATGTCAATAGCAGTGGTGTATTTTTTAAGGTGTAACAAGAGCTCAGGAGGTCGGTACCATCGGGTGACTACAAGACTAGTGTACTCTCTCCGACCCTCGCCACCACCTTTTCCTTTTTCGGGGACTTGTCCCTCGTAATGTCTTGCAAGACCGAAGTCAGCAATCTGTAATATGCCTTTGTTACTAATAAGTAAGTTGGCGGCCTTCATATCTCGATGGAGAATCTTGCTGTCGTGTAGGTAACGGAGACCTTCGAGGAGCTGGAGGAGGTAGCATTTAATCTGCGGTACCGTGAATTGGACGGACGGGTTGTCGAGTAGGCCAGATAAATCGTGATCCATGTACGGCGTTACCATATACATGATCGGTCGTTTCCTCTTGTCGGCTTGAAGGAGTTAGTCTGGGAAACTATTGGGGAAAGAGGATTCAACCTACTCATCTTACTATGATGCTCCACGGCCATGTCCTCCAGGCGCAAGACATTCTTGTGCGACAACAACTTAAGAAGCTTGATTTCTCGAAGCGCTGTAATTGGGAATCCATCTTTCTCGTTGTGCATTATGATCTTCTTCAAAGCAACCAGCGCACCATTTTTTCGTGCTCTCGCCTTGTGAACTTCACTTGAGAGGGGTTAGCATCATTAGTAAAGCAGCAATAGGTTTAGAGAGAAGACTCACCCAAAAGTACCCTCTCCTAATTTGCCTAGGAGCTCGTAGTCGCTAATCCGAGAGCAGCCAACGAAACTATCCTTAGGTCGTTGATGCTGAATCGCAAAAGAACGAGGCGAAAGCGCCTCGCTACCATTATTGTGCGCCATGATCGAAGTCAAAGCTTCGTGTGTTGAGGATTGTATGATTCGCAGATTCGCAGATCGAGGAAACAGTGATTCGGATTGGAGATAAATGGTTAAGTTGATGGCGAAAGAACCGTTGGAATTGACCAGGTTAAGTATTCGTTTGCCACGTTAACATCGCAAACTAGTGACCAGCTAGGTCGCCAGGGATATGGCTAGATTAAGAAAGGACCGATATCATTATGCTTTATGAGAATTATGTTTTGTAAACGAAGGTTAGTTTAATGTATGTGGTTGAAGCTACTAGAACCTTAGCTTGTTTGTTCGCGTTCTTGTACAGGAAGGCGACGCCTCAAAAACGCCCCAAATCGGTTCCACTTTAGAAGGTACGCATGTACATACCTATGTACCTTGCAGTTAAACTGGGAAATGACGAATGCAGAATGCGTCTGTGCGGGATACACAGTTTAGCAGTTTAGCGGTTTAGCGTTTAGCGTACTAATCACCCAGCAAGTCGCGGGGAATATTCGGTTCCAAAGGCTTACCTTAACGTCTAACTTAAGCTCTTCGAGAATCGGTATGCAACTAAAGTTACGGCATCTAGCTATTTTCTATTAACCTCACCATACCAACTTCTTACCATTGTGAGCCCACACCAATCCCTATTGAAAAAGACGTACGGCCCCCCCCCCTCAGCAAAATGACGCATTACCTCTATTCCCAACACAATTAACAATCTCTAGATTCGAGACACGAGACACCATGGCTGGCCCCGGTCCGATTAGGCCTCACGTCCCCGGCATCTACAGATACACTGCTACCGCTCTCGGCGCTAGCATGTGGTTCTTCGTAAGGCTCTCTTACCTATTTTTGCAGGGAGAATCATATGCGCTAACTTCCCTAACTAATAGTTGATGTGGCGCGCGAGGAAAGACGGTAATTGATCCCGCATTCGCATTCGAATAATACCTACAGAGTTGTTACTTACACGAACCTAGGCCCCGTCCTACTAGGCTGGAAGCACCCGTGGGACCACTAGGCTGGTAATTCTACGAAGGCGATATAGAACCGCGCAGAGGACAAATACTATGACTGGGGAGGGGTTGAAGACGAAGGTACAGGCACACAACGGTCACCAGTCATCAGGAGGCCCAGTTCAATATAAGAGAAGAATCAGACAATCAGTTTATACAGTGTACCACATACTGCGGTGTTGCTATCACGATTATTTCGGCTTCTCGAACAGATAATGGGCCACTCCCCAGGTATCCCCACCCTCATACGCGAATAATTCCGAACAAGCCATGTAAAAGATCTGCCACCTGTTGTACCACGTGTTCGCCTCGTCCTCTCCGTACGTCTCTTCCAAGTGCGGCCATATCTTCTTCTTGTTCGCGATCGTGTTGGAAAGCCAATGCTTCGCCCGGGTTAGTACGCATGCTTAAACTTAAAAGCTCCTTACGAACCATTAAAAGTGAAGCCTAGGGGGCATGCTTACCTCACACGTCTTGGAGTAATTATTTCCATTGACCCACCATTGCTTCTCAACGTGAAGGTCTTTCTGGAAATACAGCAGTAGATCCGCCGATGGCACTATTCGAAAACAACCAAGTCAGTAAGACTATCTTCTAGGCTATATAGGGGTCAAGTATAGTCTCAGTCAAGTACATACTAGTCCCGCCGGTGAAAAAATACGTGGTCATCCAGCCCTCTTCATAATCATAAGGGGTGTTCTTATGCGCGAAAATATGCACAAACAACTTCCCCCCCGGCTTCAACGCCCTCGATATCTTAGCCATAAGCTGCTCGTAATTCTTCATATGCTCGAAAAGCTTGTAATAATGTTAGCACCCCCTACTATATAATAAAAATGCAGTGCTAGTGATAGCAAAGTCAGATACCTCTATCGAAACCACCCGGTCGAAACTCTGCTTCTTGAACTCGTAGTCCACCACGTCCCCCGTGATAACCGTCAGGTTCGTGAGGCTCTTTTCCTTAGCCTTGGCGTCGATGTACTCCTTCTGCGTTCGCGAGTTCGAAAACGCCGTGATCTTGGATTTGGGGAACATCTCGGCGAAATATAACGCGCCGGAGCCCCAGCCGCATCTATATTTTATACGGGTTCCCGTCAGTATGTATGTATTAGCGTTCTTTAACGCTGGTTCGTAGAACTCCGCCTACCCTAAGTCCAGGATACTCATGCCGTCCCGGAGCTCCGCCCTCGCAGCATACAGCTCCAACATAGCCATCTCGGCCTGAGCGAGGGTCTCGCCGCCCTTGGGGTACAGGCTGCAGGAATACTTCATACGAGGGCCTAGCATGCCGGCTAGGACGCCTGTACCTACTTCGTAGTGTTGCGTGTTGGCGGTGGCGGTCTCGATGGCGATGGGCCGTGTACGCAGCAGCTCGATGTACTTCATCTTGCGCTCGTAATCGGCTGCCAGAGTCGACGACTTGATCTCCTCGAGCCGCTGCGCCAGCTGCCGCCGGATACCAACCCGGATCACGGGGTGCGGCAAGTAGCCGCGATCGAGGAGCCAGTCTATATATAGTATTACTTAACTATGTCACCTTAGTTCTATATAAAGGGGAAAAGGGGGTATTTACCGATATTCATCGTGTATATTCCGAAGCCTTTCTTATACAAATATATCTGGATTCAAGGCACCTAACACAGCCAACAGTCGAAATTTCTTGGTTCTGAGATCTAAAGTAGTTAAGGTAATTAATTATGTGGCAGTGGGAAGTTTCACCGTCTCTTACACCATTTGCATGAACGCATCCGCATCCGCCCCTTTTGTGAAACAGTGACATATATACATGTAACTAGGTCGAAAGTGGGTCTAAGTAAGAGAAGTCCATTGATCATCACTTATAAAAAGCAAAATACATGTATATATCCAAGAAAACTTAATACTCTTAAGGTAGCATGCATGATTAACCCCGCTCAAAGTTATAGTGTTATTGTTATTCAACTATCTCAACCCTGTACGTATTGAAACAATAACTAATGGGAATTGCCAAAGACTTAATTGTACCAATCCAAGATAACGACTAAACCTTCAACTCAGTACCCAGAGGTGAAAAAGAATGACTACTAATAGCTTCACCGAGTGGAGTAATCACCGAGTGGAGTAATCACCGAGTGGAGTAATACCGACAACGGAAGAGCAAATAATTATTTTAATTATATTTATTGTTGTGTTTTCGCCCATCTAAATATAATACCCTATATTATTATAATCATCCCTCACGTTTTCCGTTTGCCCTTCGGATCTCGCCGCCTTTCCCATATCTGCAGATACGACTCTCCAAGGTACAACAGTTCCTTCTGAGTCTTCTCCACGAAGAGATCCTGACACACCACCCATTCGTCTCGTCCTTTATCTTTAAGTTGGACCTTCCACGTCTTCCGTTCCTCTCCCGAGTCGGCTACGTCCTCTTTTGCCCTAACAGCCTCGTGCGTGACGTTCGCCACTAGATCGTACCAGATCGGCTCTCCTGGTGGATGATCCGCCGGGCTTGGTTCTACGTAGGGCGATACATCGAGACCGACACGTGCGTCGAACGTAACGATCGTCGGGTTCCGCTCCGACACGAATTTATTCGTAGAGAAGCGTTTAATGTGAAAGGTAAGGTATGGTGGTAACGGGTGCATAAGTCGGTATCTTTTCCTCTGCGCCAAATGCTCTTGTGCCTTCATGCCGTCATATTTGGTCAGGATGGTCGTTAAGGGGACTTGAGGGATGATATTGCGCTCTAGCTCGTCTTGGAATAGAGGCGCAGGGGGTAGATCGAGCGTCAAGAGCAAGAACCGATTAATATCTGTCTTCACTTCTGCTGCCTCCTCGAACCGCAAGCGATCGCCGGCATCTGCCTTAGCTGTGATAGCTTGCGATTCAACTTTGAGTTTACCCTGGAATATTCGTTGTATAATACTACTTCCTGGCTTCGTCTTGCTTCCGCCTAATCCTAGGTGCAAATTGTTAAGAAACCATGACAAGAATTCAACAGGGTCGGATTGATTTGTTAAGGTGAACTTCTTGTTGGATCTCAGCGAGATCTCCTGCAAAAGTTCGTGGGGTGATACGTGGTTCTTGAAGGCTCGCGGGTTCCAGATCTTTCTGAATAGGATGCCGCAGCGCTTCACGAGCTCTATGCGCGACGACAGATCTTCTAGTAGGAAATAGTTCCGTAGGGGCGAAACGTGAGATAGCGCCTGAACTACGACATTGAGATAGTCGTTCTCCTTGATATTGTTCATACCCACAAAGCCAGGTGTATACTCTTTTCCATCTAATGTCCACGCGGTCCGAGCCTTGCGATCCAGCTCCATTACTTCTTGTCTCGTGTATCTCGGATCGGATACGTATTTTATATCGTCCAAGGATTTGCTCTTCACTTCGTAGCCTTCTGGTAACACGTAGACTTTCTGGGTCTCCATGTTGATAAATACGTGATGTCCGACTTCGAGAGAGTGAAAATACGCATGCGACTTTGGACCTCGGCCCTGGAAGTATTTCCCGCAGACCAGACATGCATAGACATTTATGTTGGACAGGCTGATGGAACATAGCTTCTCGAAGTCAAAGTCGAGCACGTTGCGATCGATCGTATCCAGATATAGGTCGTCGTACCCTGCTGTAGGCGCAGACTGTCGTATCGGCGCCTTTGAAGGCTCATCTTCGAATTCATCATCGTCGGCCTCTCCGGTCATAGGGGTGTCGTCGAGTCTCTCGTTTGAAGCCAACGCGCCATCGCCATTTAATTCTAGGCCATCATCAAACCGCGACCGTTTCGATGCAGGCGAACCAACATCAAGCTCCTCCAAAGCCTCGGAGGCCTGTCTTTTAGGCATCTTTCGGGGACGGCGCTGGTGGAAGTAAATTGTAGATTGGAGAAAGAATCAATGTTTGGCCGAATGCAGGGCTGAAAGATTGTGAGATATGCAAGTCGCGACTTTGAAGCTATCAAAGCTCTTTTTCAATTGATGGGAACATTTAAGGCTGGACCGGTACGTACCTACTGCACCTATGTATTAGCGCCCCTCTAAATACCGTTGAAAAGGACCACTTAAAGCCAACATTGGATCATGCAATGAACGTAAGTGATAACATTCACATAAAAGCTACAAGCTATAAGTGCAGTCTTCAATTATATTAAACACCAAATACGTACGTACAATGTTATTCATTTCCATTCAAAAAGGAATTCAAGATCAAACTGGATGTTTTTAATATTGATAACTAACATATAGTTAACCTAGTCTATTATGTATAATGCGTATTATTCTCTATTTGGGGTATCATAATTCTATCATAATTCGTGTTTACTCGTATGTGCGCTATTTCAGCACCTGCTTCAACTTGGAGCTTCTTCCTCTCATTGGAGTCCCTTGGCCTCCAAAAGGCGTTCGAGGGGTAGCACCACTACTTCCTCCAATCTGACTCCAGAGCCGTTGCGCTGCCGGCGTCAACCCACCCGTGACACGAGGACTGCTTGGGAATTTCGGAACAGGTGTCTTCTCAACTTTCCCAGTCAAGCCGATCTTGGAAGACGTTCTCTTGGACTGTGAGATCCGGTCGACCATACGATGGTGAAGGGCCTCTCGTTTGCTCTGCTCCTTGATGATAAAGGGATTTGGTGTTGAATCGCCGGGACCAAGATCGATCTTCGGTGCCACGGGCGGTTCGTATTCTGGCTCTTCGTCGTCCACAAATGCATACCCGTTCACCCTCGGTGTTTCGCTTCCCACAGTAGTCGAGTCTAGCTCGCTCATTCCTCGTCTTCCCGCAATAGCGTCTCGGATCGCGGAGAGCGATGGAGAAGATGGTACCGATTCGTCGTCGCTAACTTTCAACCCTGGCAATCTGGTATTCTCGTAGTTGACACCCTTCGGGGCGGCTCGAGATTCGGTCTCTGCTCGTTGTACCCTAGTCTCCATGGAATCCTCTACACTCTCAGGGATAAACATCAACGAATTATTCGGCAACGACTTCCACGTATCCGGCTGCGCAGGTCTTTCCTCTCGATCCTTGATAGCTAAACGATCCCTCTTGAACCCATCGTCCGTCAAACTCCGCGACTCGGCTAATTTTGCTTCGATTTGTTTTTGTTTCAGCTGCATCTTAGAAGGCAGCTTGTTTCCCGTCCATAGCCACGCATACTTTTCGGCCTTCTTTGAGTTTTGCTTATCGAGGAGTTTGTAAAAGCTCTCGTTATCCTCACTCGTATATTTGGCCTGGAAGGCTCCTAGACTCATATTCGTATCGATATCGTCCTTCCCCTTCAAGCTAGACACAGTAGATTCTGAAGCCACCGATACCGGCGTATCACCTACAAAGCTTCTAGGAGTTTGCGCGCCCGGGGCCAATGATGTTCCTCTTCTCGTATTGCGACGTCCCGGAGTCATGACTTGCTGAAGACGTCGGCTTGCGCTTGAGATCCATGCTGCATCCTTAGACTCTATTGCATCTAAGTACTCCTGTTGTGTTTCGCTCTCTAAGAGCCCAGGAAAGAAGTCCCGGGCGATAATTTGCGATAGCGCATCGGTGTAGCTATCCTCGTCGATAACTTTCTTTGGTCTCTTGATCCGCTTCGGGGGTGGCGGAGGGGGCATCAACTCCAGGTCATTTCTTTTTCGGACGAGCGCTGTGGAAGCGCTCGCGCTATTTTCCATGGTCGTCTGGTGCTGGTCGATTATTGGGAAGTGATCTTTCGTGATGAAAAGGTTGTTGAAATAAGTAATGGAGTATGACAAAGAAGCCAAACAAGGCGATGTTAACGAATCCTTTGGTATTCGCGATCAGCTGAGCTTATCGATATGCATGTAGCCCCACAGGCCGCCTTACAAGGTACATAGGCTAAGTACCCAGGGTGCCAGGTGCGTATATACGTCACACTAGAAATTGACCCTCGTAGGAGGTATTTTATAGTTGAGCCTCGGAACGTAAAGCAACCTATTCTAGATGGTCTTCATACGTTAGTCTTTATTTTGACATTTACCTAAATTTCAAATCATTCTAAGTGACCATTGGCGTAAACAATCTTACATATCCATAATTTCTACTTTTACCTGATCAGAATTTAAAGCTGAGGTCAAGACACATTAGATTTGAACTATCTAAGTCAAAACATCGTGCCGGGAACTAATATTGCTAGTAACTTTGAAGCTGACCTTTTTTCCCCTCAACAGGTAGCCAACTAATTTAACCCTCGTAAATACTCGGTTTCTGACACTTAACCGCCTCAACTCGTTGGTAAATACCAGTGATACTGGCTAAAAAGGGATCCATTACGTTACACAGTTGGTATACTATGCCATTAACATGAGGGTTTAGAAATATATCAGGGGGGACCTTCATTCAGTCTAACTAGGGAGTCCCTAGCCGCTTAGAAATGAACTGATATTAATCAACATTTCTTGGGAAATATTTCCGGCTAGATACCCAGCTTTACACTGACACTATTTTACTTGACGAGATTAAACGATGACCTAATATCAAAGTCATGAATAGAATAGACTTTGCCTCTGCCACTGCGTAGATAAAAAAAGAAAAATTACTGACACAAATAGCATGTGATGTCGAGAGTTCCTTGTTGTGTCTGGGCGGTCTTTATAGCTACCACATACACAACCACTGGTCCTTTGTTCTAAAGGGGCTGGCTTTATTCGTGACTACAAGACCCACGAGCCGGAAATCTTGAACTCAACATTACTACCTTCTTATACATAATCTACCATGACGCATGCCCATAAATCGAAAACATCAGATAATAAGGGATTGTCACTGCGTCGTTACAGGTATATTGAATTATACATTGCTTCGGTCTACGGAAAGACGGACAATCCTAGGGGCTTTGTGAGTACAGGGTCACAAGAGTAAGAAGTTTACATTAATGCCTTACCGTACGGAAAATACAAGATAGATTGACGCAATATTTAGGCAGCCTAATAATTCTATGGTTAGAGAGCTTCCACTATCTAAAGCCTAAGAAATCGAGAATCACGGTCAAGTATGTCAAAGCTCGCAGTCACACACTCAAGTACGGTTCAAATATATATGGATCATCGCCTGTATTGATTTTTTATACGGCAAAAACGTGGTACCTATGTACAGAGAAATAGCTAATGTTACATCGAAAAGTCTAAAATGCTAAAATAGGGGTCGTGAAGAAGAAGAATGTGCATGCACCATGATGGAAGAAGATGAAGTGAAAAAAAGTTATGCAGCCCGCTCCCTAATCGTGATAGCCCCCAATATTGAATACAACCCCCGAGATAGAGAGAAAAAGTTTTTGTTGTTGTATCCAGTCATAACAACCCGTCGTTAGATTCCCTGGAGAGAAATAGAAGGAATCCGGACCGTCATCATGACACCGTGAGACCGCTCAAGAAAGTATGCCGATGATGAGAGAAAATTTACGCGCGGAAAGAGCGGCCGGAGCGCTTGCGGCCGGAGGCGGCGATGCTGAGGGTGGTACCCTGGCCACCAGTGCACACGGTGCCAGCAGCCATGGGCATGCTGACAGACCAGGTGCCGGAAGCGCACTGCTGGTAGCTGGAGCCCATGCAGTTGAAGGTACCCTCGGGGCTGCAAGCACCAGACTGAGCAGAGCCAGAGCCACCAGCGGGAGCGGCAGGGGCAGCTGGAGCAGCGGGAGTGGAGGAAGCGGCAGGAGCTTGAGTAGGGGTAGGGGTAGGGGTGGAAGGCTGAGTGATGAAAGCACCACCGCTAGAGGGAGCAGGGTCGGCCGGAGCAGAGGACGGGGTAGCAGAAGTAGCGGGGGCAGCAGGGGCGCTGTCACCGTCAGTGCAGCCACCAGTACCGCAAGTGGCGATGGAGCCAGCAACGGTGTTGTCCTCGACGGAGTCGCCGGGGTTCTCGAACTTGTAGTCCTTACCCTCGAGGGTGCTGGGCTTGCCCATGATGTTCAAGACAAGCATATCAGGGAGCTTGTCGAAGTTGGCCTTGTCACCGCCCTCACCAGTGAGCTCGAGAGCACCGCAGTTCATGTAGAATTCACGGTTGCCGATCTTGTTGAGCCAAGACCAGGCAATGGTAGCCTTTCCGGCGGGGATGTTGGAGGGAATGGTGTAGTCGTAGGTGTAGGGGTCAGTGAAGTCAGCGCTGTCGGCAGGGAGGTTACCGGGAGTGTCACGGGCAGGGCAGCCACCCTCGATAGAGTGGATGACCTTCCAGACACTGTCCTTGGTTGGGTTCTCATCGTAGGTGATGGAGACCTGGCAAGAGCCACCACCGTGGACGGCTGAGCCCTTGAAGGCAAGCTTCTGCTGGGAGCCGAGGGCGTAGCTGTTCACTTCGCCGCCGGAAGCGGAGTAGCTGCCGGAGAACTTGCAAGGGAAGTTGCTTCCATCAGCCTCAAGAGGGCCGTTGCTGAGAGCGGTAGGGTTGAAGGGAGCGGGGCTGGTCATGACCATGTGGGCATTGACACCGGCAAAGAGACCGGCGATGGCGGCAATCTTCTTAGAGTAAGACATTTTGACTGTTTGATGAAACTGTGAAATCTGGATCCTGCAGATTTAGTGAAGTAGAAAATCGATCCGGTCGTTGACTGAAGAGTCTGAAAGTTGCTTGAACTAAATGCCTATAAATTAGCTTTCAGATCATGGGTAAATAATAATTGCCTTGATCCCTTTGACTGGGGTTATACAAAGACGTTGTTGTTGCGAAAAGAAGAGATAATTATCGAATAGCTCTTTCGAGTCGAGACGAGTAGCTCGTAGTCGAACAATGCATTTATAGTGCCAGAGAAAGGAGAAAAGCGTGTGATAAATTGGTTAACTAGTTACTGACCTTGTTGGTACTTTGTTCGACTAAGGGAACAAAGGTAAAATCAGTGACGATGGTTGATGGTTGAGAGAGTGAGATCGATCAAGATAATTCTTCGCGAGTAAAACTCAAAGGAAGGTAATGCTCCAGGCGATTGGAAACGAAGATGTTTTGAAAATGAAGGAAAGACTGAAAAGGTATCAAATTGCTGCCGCTGGCGTGATGATGAGGGAAGAAACAAAACAATCGACCTGGGCGATTTGAAGAGATTCTTATAGTCTTGAAGGATGGGCAAAAGAATGGAAGGCGGCAAGTGAGTGTGTGTACCTAATGCACGATGATGGCGGAGGGGAAAAAAAAAGAACGAATGGAGTAAGTTAGTGAGTTGGTGTATGTAAAATGCAGGAACAAAAAGGCAGGAGGAAAATGATTGGATCTAGGAGGAATCGAGTAGAACATGACTAACATGGGTTAAACATGGTCTGCATGGTCTGCATGGTCTAAGGTCTCTACAATGGTTCATTCTCCCCTATCCACTTGCCATTATCACACTTATTCCTTACTGTCCTTACTACATGCCCTGCTACCTTAGGATGAGATCCACTCGGGGCGCAGACTTAAGAGTAGATCGACAACCCCACGACTCAGGGCACTGATGGGACGTACCTAGCCAGTAAAACTCAGCCATACATTGTCGTGGGTTTCGAAGCGTGGTGTTGAAGATGGGCAAGCAGGGGTGGGTACGGAGGGCTAGATGACAGGGGATACAAACGGGGATAAGGTCTTGGGAAGCAGCGATTGGCCCCAGTAAAAGACCCTAGTAACACTAACTACTGGCAGACGGCTCTTTTCACTTGTTTCGTCTTGGCTTAAACTGTGACCAAACATTGCTCTGAGTGGACAGAATAAGGGCACCTTAAAAAAATCGCGTTTATAATTTTTTTTTCTTTTGCTCTTGCCGAGTCATGGTTTATTTGTTATCGTTAATTCAGATATGAGGTCATTGTTGTTCACATTTATTGTACATATGACTAGAAAATGTTTGACTTTGCAAACGAACTTGAACCGTGTCCCGTTTGCCCTCTCATTACCCCAGGCAATGGTAAGTCAGCTGCAGTCCAAACTGCAACGACACCCGCCGCATACGCGCTTACATTTGAATATCAATACGTTGGTAACATTGTTCCGGAAGAATTAATTCCAAAAAATTGAAGTTTTAGTTTTAGTCTTTTCACGCCGTACGTAGGCAGCAAATTAGGAATGAAAATAGAATGCGAGTCAGGAATTTATGACGGCGCAGACCTCGACTCTCCATAAGTTTCAAAATATTAGAATACCATTTTGCTTCAATGAGGAAGGTTTTTCCAAGGTCTGTCAGGCTGCATGTCGTGCAGCCAATCAAATCACCTAGTTACCAAATCTACTTGCCCGATTCGGATAACTTGGCAGCCAATTGGTAGCGTGGCGCAACACAAGACCCTTTGCCCTTACCTTTACCCTTACACTTGGGACTTGATCCTTTCTGCGTGGAACTCTTCTAGCACTTGAATACGAGGAGGCAAAAATCATTACTTCAGTTACATACGTACCTACTTACGAGCGGAAAAGTCGGCTGCGATCTTCAGGAGATATTTACGATCAAAATTTTCAGGGGGAAGGCGAATGGCTTTCCAAGTTACGCATGAGTCGTGATAGGCAAGGGGAATTAGGGGAATTTTTGACCTTGAGTCGTATGTCAAAGATCTTCTAGCCTCTAGAATTCCAGCTGGGTCGCGCCGAGAGATCCAGGCACTGGCCACTCATAGCTCAGGAACAGGGGCTAAGCCGATCCCCTGGAGAACTTATGGAGAACTTTTAAGCCTGTAATGGTTCCCTCCCCTGCGCCTAGGCATTTTAGCGAGAGGTTAAACCCCCGCCCCCGCCAGGCTGATTGAAAAGGTGAAACTGCACTAGTTTCAACCGGCGCTGAACTCTTCAAGGAGGGTTGCAATGTGAGACTTGAGACTCCTAATTGCCTATGGTTTTCCGATGATTTTGCGCGTACCTTAACTCGCATGGCAGATCGCACCATGCCGCTTGCAACCCTTCCCCTACGGATAGCCAATAGTGTTATTGCTATATACACCTAGGTATATACCTAGGTGTGTCGTCTAAAGTCACGACCACAAAATCAGCCTTATCAATTCGATACTAGCCACTACAGCTGTCTTCTACCATTGAGATTTCTTACGTTCTGCGCTAACTACGCCACATGCTCCACGTCTCCGCTTGTTGTTGCCTTCCTATCTCAAGCGTGCTCCGGCCGCATTTAGCGAGCCACCGGCCCAATCGACCGGAAGAAGGCGCCTCGGCTTGCCAGTACATATTCTGTAGTCATTGCCGGTATCCCGTTTTAACTGTCAGCTAGGAGATGACTAGGCTGCCTCCTTACGGAGCGTTATCTCCAATTATATCTACCTAATGCTAATGGCTTACCGCATGCGAGCTGCAGACTGACGCCAACTCAGCATTTCTGAACAAGACCATCCCGCCATTCCGCCCGCCTTTTTGTTTTTATTATGATGATTCTGTCTTTAAAGCGATCCTTTGTATTGTGTTTTTCATGAACACCTTACCTAGAGGCGCAAGGCTGTGCTTCCATGGCTTGATAAATACTTTCACTCTAAAAGCACTTTACATAATAGTAGTAGCGGAGTGGATAACAATAAGTTAATAGTAGAATAGTAGTTCATGCAATACTGAAGGGGAGAAATTAAGCATCTCGAGCTGCCTATTTGGGATCCTGGGGGATAAAAATAGAGGGGAAAATTCTAGGGTGTAATCTTGACGAATTTCTTGGCATCAAAATAAGGTATGTACGCCATATCTCATCGGATAACTGTGGAGATGAGATGCAAGGGCATTGCCGTTGGATGCTCGGTTGGTTCGGTGATGCCTGTTCTGTTGGTGGTAATAAACACGATACAGACCAGACCTTCGAGAAGTGTATTACGTGCCGCTTGTTCCCGTCAGCTGTTGTGCTGAAGGAACTGGTCTCAACAGGTTGAAACTAGTTTCATGTTCAATATATTAAGACGAGTTGCTGCGATCTAGTTAACAATTAAATGAGACGGTCAGAAATAGCAGTTAGATAAATCTTAGAATCTCCTTGGTAGTTCCAAGTTTATTGACGATTGGCCGCCTCAAACACAGCTATGATATGCATGAGGCTCCTCAGCTTTGCTCAGCCGAATTTCGTTTCAAAAAAGACCATACCATAGGTATAACACTATCCGAAATGTACATTAGCGTGATATGCACCATTCTATTTTTTGATTAACGCACTGATTTAGCCACGAGAGAACCACAACCAAACCAACCTTCCTCATGGGTCTATGCTAAGCAAATATGAGCTGCATCATTACCATGCCTATCTAGTATACTATGTACTACTGCAAATAGTTCTCCATCCTGGAATATCGAGAATATCAATTGACCGTCCCCACTCTGGTGCCAACGTATAATTGTGTAAGCTGCTAATTTCGCAAGGCTTACCTTACTTACAACAAGGCCTAGGCAAAGCTGAGAGATTGCGAATCTCCACAGCTAAGTTATTTCAAGACAAGAAGAGCCGAATTAGTAACGTTGCATATCTATTAGACGAACAATAGTCTAGCGAAAAAAAAGACATTATGAAGGCATTGCCACATTGGCACTCATGCATTCTGACGGTAATCTTGACTCGACCGCCGTTCTTCCTTGTTGTTCTCTTCGGAATCAAAATAGGAGGTCAGCGATGAGCTTTGCAATGCTTGGAGTTCCGTTGACCTTCAAACAGCAGCTGCCTTTTCATCATCTTTGACGTCTTGAGGAGCGAAATGGTCACTCTCTTCGAAGCCATAATCTTCTCGCGTCCAGTTCTTCATCTTCTGCGTCCGGAACTCCTCAAAGTCCCACTCACGATCTTCCAGTTGTTTAGGATCCTTGAAGACGTATACTTCGCAATCGACCTCCTCGCCTTCGACGTTACCCTGTCCTTTGTCGTCGCCGACTTTCGAAAGTAAGCGGGCCTTCACCGTTTTGCGATCATATTCGCTCCCCTCGAAAGCATCGAGATGGAATATGTTGGCGTCTGTTAGGCCTGTCACGTACATGCCTCTGACCTCATGATTTGGGTCCGGTGTAATTCCCGGATAGTCTGCGAATTGGACCCGACTATGAAGGTTAAGTAAGTGTTAGCCATATACTGTCGATAATCGGTTGAAGCTGTCACATTATATAACAGTATTCTCGTTCGGGCGACTCGAGGCCTTGATGTCTAAAATGATGCCCTGATTATCAACTTACCGCCGGCAATAACCATGTAATATAGCTGGCTTGAAATCGTGAAGGCTTTTTAAGAGCGCCACGTTTTCCGTGGAGGACCTATAACAGACCGTGAAGAAGACTTCAGCGGCCATCTGAAGAGTCGTGAGCAAACGGACGATTTTTAGATACCCTTGAGGGAAGAGGGTCTCACCAACGTGCCTAGCAATTGTTAATACTAGCGTTATAGCAGATAGAGGTCATATATGAAACTCGCCATAGAAGAACGCTGCGTGCGTGCGATCCGACATTGCTGCTTAATATTTGGGCATACGAGTCGCTTTTTTTGTTCACTCTCGTCGAGTACCTAACCTTATGGTATAGGGAGCACTGATGATGCAAAACTTGGGACGACGCGCGTAAGATATAGGGGCACCTGTGCTGAGTTTAAGTTAAAAACCGAAACTATTAAAGTGAGTAGTTAAACCCTCGGTTTTCTATAAGAACAGCTCGAACACATGTACCTAATGATTTATGCGGGGGTATCGAGAGACCCCGATATACGGTGCCTAGGACTTATCTCTAAAGAGAGACCCGTATCTCTCTACGGATTCGAGAATTCAAATAGGCTAAAACCTTTACTAAAATTATTTACTTATTACTTACTTCCGTGGGATTATTGTTTAAGACATAGGTATCGGGATGCATCCAATGGTTTAATGTCTTGGAGGCCGAAGCAAGCTAAAGGCTACTCCAAAGTCTCAATGAAGATAAGTGAAGATAAGGCAGTTCGGGACTTGGCAGCTAATAACCCGAGCTACGAAGTACCTGAGGTCATCTCTACAATTGCACTTATCGATA